ATTAGTTTTTACGAAATCGACAAATCCCTCGGTGTAAAGTCAAGAAAGATAACATATATTTCCGAATTACTAAACTGAAACTGACGAAGACTGGTAACGAAAATTCTAATAGCAGGTAGAAGCCTCTGCTTTTAACTGTATTTGCTTTCACTAATTATACTTGTAACTGCATAAATCGCCAGGTAGTGATAAAATTCCGGCGGAACTTATTCAAGCAGAAGGCGAAATGTTACGTTCTACTAAGATCCATAAGCTAATTATTTCTGTTTAGCATAAGGAAAACTTCCTTGATCAGTGGTAGGAGTCTATTATTGTACCAGTGTACAAGAAGGGTGATAAAACTGACTGTAGTAATTACCGGGGCATATCATTGCTATCAACTTCACACAAATTTTTATCCAATATTCTTCTCTCAAGGATCACTCCATATATAAGGGGATTGGAACTTTAATAGGGGCAACTATTTATTTACAACTGATACAAAATAGATGCATGTTTCGAAGTTTTACTGTCCTTCAGTGTAGTCACCAGCATTGTGTACAACCCGTTGCCAGCGATGTGGAAGTTGTAGGATACCTTTAGCAGCGCCCGTTGTGTTGATAGTTCGAATGGAGTGGTCTACTGCCTGAAGAATCTCTGGAACAGTTCTGAAGCGAATGCCACGAAGTCGTTCCTTCATCTTAGGAATCAAGTCGAAGTCACAAGGGCTTAACTCCGGGGAGTATGGTGGATAGTACAGCACTTCCCAGCCCCATCGATCGAACAAATCAGCCACAGCTTGCCATTTCTGCATTTCCGTCAAATCATGCGGAACCCATCGTGAGGCAATTTTTCTCATTCCCAAGCGGTCCTTCAGAATGTGAAGCACAGTCGTATGCGCTAATCCTGTCTCTCGGGCCAGCTCACGAATCGTATGGCGTCGATCACTCTCCAGTAACAAAGAAAGAGCATACACTTCTTCACTGACACTAGGACGATCTAGCCGACGCATGTCTGCCACATTTTAGCGTCCCTCGTTGCCACTGTTCTGTAAGGCAATGCAGATTCCACGCGAGCCTCTTGAAGACCTTGATGACACTGTCGTGCTGTACGGCCTTTGCACATTCAATCTCTATCCAACTCCGTTGTTCCTGTTTCGAAAACATCATGACAACACTACATTAGACCGCCAGCTAACACTAGGCTCTGTTCTTCTCGTCACTGCGCATGCATGTGATGTGGGAAGGGAGAGTCCATTTGCTCTGAGGTAAGGTAGGTATGTTACTAACGTGTGGTATAAGCGACATTATTTGGTTCCGTTGAATGGTGTCTCTACAGCAGTGTTGCCACTATTAAAGTTGCAACCCTCGTTGATGAAATTATTGGGGATCATCAGTGTGGGTTTCGACGTAACAGATCAACTACAGATCAGTATTTTTGCATTCTTCAGATATTGGAGGAAAAAATGGGAGTGCAATGAGACAGTACATCAGAAATTCATAGAATTCAGGAAAGCCTATCATTCAGTTAAGAGGGAAGTACAATATTCTGATAAAGTTTGGGATACCCATGAAACAAGTTAGGCTGATTAAAATGTGTTTAAACGAAACGTATAGTAAAGTCCGTATAGGTAAACATTTGTCTGATAAAATATCCTATCCAGAATAGTCTAAAACAAAGAGATGCTTTATCGCCACTCGTTTTCAACTTTGCTTTTTAATATGCCAATAGGAAGGTCCAGGGAAACCAGGTGGGACTGAAATTAAACGGAATACATCAGTTGTTGGTCTATGCCGATGATGCGAATCTACTGGGCGATAATGTAGATACCATAAAGAAAAACACACAAACTTTAATTGACGCAAGTAAAGAGGTTGGTCTAGAAGTAAACACAGAGAAAACTGAGTATATGTTCCTGTCTCGTCACCAAAATGCAGGGCAAAATCATGACATAAAGATAGGAAACAGATGTTTTTAAAATGTGGCACAGTTCAGATATTTAGGAACAACGATAACATATCGAAACCTGATTCAGGATGAAATTAAGAGGAGACTGAACTCGGGTAATGCTTGCTACCATTCAGTCCAGAACCTTTTGTCTTCTCATCTGCTGTCCAAAAACGAGCCCGGGTCTGGTCAAGTGGGATTTGTGGTGGACAAAATGGCGCTGGGGCATGTCTTCTCCGAGTACTTCGGTTTTCCCTGCAAATCTTCATTCCACCAAATTCTCCATCATCATAATCATCCGGGACGGGTTCAATAGGCCAATCAGTTGCCGACGTGCCGAGTGGACCCGGCTGGACTCCACCTCCCACTATGCAAATTAAAAAAATATGGTTCTCATCAGAAAATTTATTTTTTCTCTCTGAAACAGATGTAACCGCTAAACAAACATCATATTCAACTGAGCACTGATTTATTTTATAAAATCTGATTAAAGAGGCTGAACATATCAAGCCAAGGATTTTCACAAGGGATGTATGTTTGCCCCCAGCTTGTCAATTCTGCTTATACGAATGTTCTCACAGCACATAATTCCTTAAGCGGTTCATGAGCATTTATCGGAACGCCACTAGCCACATTCAAGTCCCTACAGTTTCATTTGAACATTCAGCAATGTTAAACGTTCGGTATAGTGATATACTGGCGTGTCATCAGAACTACGTACCTCCACACAGCTCAAGAGAGTCAACACAACAGTCTTAAAGCCGAAGGGCGAACTTACTTCATTTTTTTTCCTTCTAAGAGGTTCATTTCAACCCTAATTTAGCAGACAAGAATTTCACAGTGCTTCTATTCACAAACTTAACTTTCAGCGACTTTGAACCCTTACCTACCTACCTCATTCTTTTTTTAATTTGCTTAGTGGGGGGGGGCCTCGGAAACTTCAAAAAAGAAGGGGAAATTTTTTTAACAGTGTAATATGTAGATGACCTTGTGTTAATGGCT